AACACTGCAGAAAACTGACAGGAATCTCCCGCTCACCAGCCTCTGGCAGCTGAAGAGCCCTTGGCAGCCCCCGCAGAGCTCCCACCCCAGTGCTGAGCATAAAACCCCTCTGAGCCCCGGCTGGGCACGGCCAGCTCCCAGCACGCTGCCGGCTCTGCCCGCACTGCGCTGCCGGACCCCGCTGCACCAGGAACACGGCGAGGCCTGGCCAGGAGAGCTGTCCTACTCTCTAATTTTGCCTGTGAAGTTCCAGGATATTGGTAAAAATCTCTAAGCTCATGTAGTTCTGCTGCCATGTGGACAAAGACACTCGAGTAATGACACCCCGACGCCTGCTGCACACTTCTCCTCGGGAGTCCTGACTGCCCAGCACGCAGAGGAGTCCTTGCTGTCAATTCCTTTCCTGGTTTGTGGAAGTTTATTTTTTCTTCAGGTTATTTTCTTCCTTCTTGTACAGTTTGCAGAGGAAAATAGGCATTTTTTATATCTTGGTTTCCCTGGGGCTTAAACATCCCCAGCGTTTGGCTGTGTGAAGCCAGAGCTCCCCCGGCGTTGGGCTGGGGAAAGCCAGTGGGCCTGCAACGGCTGACGCCTGCCCGGGGATCACAGCGGCTGGCCGAGACTGCAACCTGCGTGCTGCGAGATCCCGGGTTCAGTATGAAACGAGAGCTTCACCTGTATTTCTTCCTTCTCCTGAAGGAGGGAATGCCGCTGGAGGAGTGGGCTCTGTCTGTCTGCCCGCCTGGCTGCTCACCAGGGCCGCAGGAGGGGCAGGCATGGGCGCTCGCAGTTGGCTCAATTTCAGTCCAAGGCTCCTTTGCAGGCTCTTGCCTTTGACATCAGCTGGCAGCATCTGGAAAAGAACCAGAAGGGATCGTTTGTGCTTCCTGGCCCAAGAGAGAGAAGCTTAAGGGGAGAAAAAAAAAAAAAAAAAAGACAAATGACACAAACTGATAAACTTCCTCAGTTGCACCTACAAAACAATGCACAGCCTGGGAGTGCAGAGTTTTCAGCTGTACAGTAATTAATGTGCCAAGGACCTCTTGGTGCCCCTGAGAGGCTTTCTGACCTGCATGGAGCTGGGCTGCTCCTTCCTCTGCACCTTCAGCTGCCTTCAGGTAATTTGACAATCCAAGGCCAATACTGCAACCTGGTTTTCTTCGCTATCTCTTGTTCCATCTTAAGTGAACTGAGTTTGAGATGGCGTCGGTTTCTGTTTGTGATTTGTTTACTTACGTTGTGTAATCCATGAAGGGAGTTACCAAATAAACCTCCTGCCCGAAACCACTTGAACAACTCGGCTTTGACCTCTCTGGCTGCAGACCACGAAGTTCTCCTGTTCTTGCAGAGTCCCTTCTGCTTCCAGGAAACCTCCTGTCCGTCGAACTGGCTGGAGGTGGGGTTAGGCACGTTAACAAAGAATAAAAAGAAAGATTGTTTGGAATCTTGGAATTGCAAGTAAATTGTTTGGAAAGTGCAGAACGTAATGGAGTTCCCAGGTGCTACAGACTGAAAATAATTATAATAAATGAGCCAGTTCTCATCTGGGTCAACTAGTATGGCTCCATCAAAATTAATGTATCTCATTAATATAACAATGTTTGTGCCTCAAATGTCACTCCTGCATGTGATTTTAATGGATTTGAGGTGCTCAGCTTTAACAGTCTAAAATCAGAATTTCATTACTAAAATCCTAAAAATGAGACTAAAGAGAATTAATTTACTGTAATGTATTTTATGTCATGCCTTCAAGTGGCCTAATAAATAAGATTTCTAAAAATAATTTCATTCCCATTAATAGCAAGATATTGCAGGGATTAACGCAATAATATATTTAAGTATATTTTGCATTGGAGCCGTACATTTGCCCATTTGAAAGCGTGTGTGTGAATGCTCAGCACTTACTCATGGAGGCAGCGGCAGCCTCCGTGTTGCCAGGGCACGTGGGCAAGGGCTGGGGGGGAAACACGCTTTGGCTTTTCTGTGTCACCGGTAATGATGTGCATCACGGGAAAACAACTGCAACGAGCTGGTGATGATGAGAAAAACCCGTTTGGATGTTCATCTGACCAGCAAGGGCACGTCAGGTCCTTGGTGCTTCCAGGGAAGATGGGTTCCCTCGGGGACAGCCGTGGCTTGATGGCTTTGAAAGCCGTCAGATGGATGTTATACTCAGTCTAGTAACTAAAACCGAGCTGGTGTGAAGTAGCAGGAGTATCTCCATTGTCCCGCTGCCTCACGCAGGTGCACGCTGGGGCAACCTCACCTTTGCTGAAGAGCCACCCATGTAGGAGGAGGAAAGCAGTTCCTGGCAGAGCTGCCTCCCCACGGCCGTTACGCTCGGAGCAAGCAGTCATCCTTTCCGGCAGCGAGAGAAAAGGGAGCACGTTCAGCACTCCCTGGGCGATTCGCTTTCGTTGCCACGTGCCGCTCGCCAGCTCTGCGGTGGGAACGCAGAGGACAGGCCACGCTCGGCACTGCGCGTCACGTTTTGCCACTATTACGCAAGCCCATGCCCAAACTCCTAGATCAGTGACGAGTTTTGTGCCCGGAGTGCACAGAAATAGTTATTCTGAAGTTTCTTTTCTTTAAACGCAGCTACAAAGCCAGCGCACTCCTCCTGCAGCAGCTCTTCCTTGTGCTTCCGCGAGAGCAGCTGCAGGAGCGTGCCCCTCGCCTGCCTCGAGAAACGGCAATTTTACATTTGCTTTTTAAACCCTGAATTGTGTTACCGGGCCGTTTGGGTTTTAAGCTTCATCGATTGCAAAGTGCAATATTGCTCCTTGGAAACGCAGAGCACAATGGTACGAGTCCTGCGCTGCTGCCCCTAAACATCAGAATTCGAGAAGCGGGTTTGGTGGGTGTAGTGATTCCAGGCAGTGCTCCCCCAAATCCGCCGCCAGCCCCGCGCAGCACCAGCGGTGCTGTACCTGGAGGGAGTTTCTCTGGGCACAGGGCCAGCCACGCTCCGCAGCTCGTGCCGGGAGGCTCCGCTCCGACAGCACCGGCCCCCGCGAGCCTGGAAAGGTCACAGTTCTGCAGAAAAAGACATTATCACCCCAATTTCATGCACACAGGTGGGGTTTTGGCCAGTTTTGGAAGCAGAATTAAACCAGAGGCATATAAATATATTTTTTTTTCCTGCCTTCACAAAGTTTTGACTGAAACCAACTCCTCTTTTGTATCTGCACATCAGTGACAAGCCCAGCAGGCGCCGTGGGGAAATTTGTCACCGGGTACAATGAAACATGGAGGAAAAACGCTCCTGGAAGACAGGTATCTTTACAAATGACAGAATATTTATTACCAATACCTTTAAAAAAAGATTACATCTGCTAGATCACTGATAAATATCATTTACACCGGGGAGAAAACTACAGCAGCTTTTTTTTTTTGTTCCATTTTTCTTGTTTTTGTGGTTTTTTTGAATATCATCTACACCGGGGAGAAAACTACAGCAGCTTTTTTTTTTTTGTTCCATTTTTCTTGTTTTTGTGGTTTTTTTGTTTTTGTTTTGTGGTTTTTGTTTTTTTTTTTACATAGAAGTAACCATATCAAACTAAGAAAAGAACACAGCTTGAAATACTGACAATATTTCTCTGGTCAACACCCCTGACTTTTACACAAGTGGAATCCTGATTATGAGTTACTGAATAAATATATTTAGAAGGTCTAAAAGTTAACTGTATTATTTTGTAAGCAAAAAAGACAAGTTACAGGCAAATTCAAGCTATCAGGAAAAAAAAAATAATAAACCACTGCAGCGCATTTAAACTTGAAAATTTTATAGAAAATTCCGTTGCCTTTTACTAGCGTTATCCCATCTGAGTGAACTTACAAAATTACCCCGTAGTAACAAACAGTCCTTCTCTTAAGAAGAATTATTTTGCTGTGGATATTGTCGTTTTCCGGCGTGACTCTATTTTGCCTTCAGGCGTCTATGAAGAGTTTCTAAAGAAACGCGGATTTCCTCGCAGGGAACTACCGGGAGATCCCACCTCCCCGCAACACCCCGCACCTCCGGGGGAGCCCCGAGCATGGCACAGCAACTCTGATGCTCTACGGTCAGATTTCCTACGCGTTTTCTACACGGTGGAATTGGGAAGGATGAGGAGTTACGTTCCAATGCACGTGGAAAGCGAGCGCGCGTTCGGCCAACGAGCCCAGGGCAGCTTTACGTCTCAGAGGCGCCGTGTTCTAATTTCCTTGGAAGAAAATCCCCCGAAGCGAGGTGGATTTAGGCGGGTTTGCACCCAAAGGTGACAACCGCATCTTGCTCGCTCCTTCGGGTACCTGGCCCTTTCTGTCACTAGAGGCAGAGATCGCATCTTTGCAGTATCTTCATTCCTACCCAATTTAATGCTAACGATGATCAAGACAAAGCTATCTCAAGAGAGTAAAACCAGACCCTTACTGCATGATGCCAGAGCATTAGCTACACGTCCTGTAGTCCACAAATGACCGAAATCTGTGTATTTTTTCAAGATTATAGTGTTCTTACTGAGTATTTCGAGTTTGTCTTGCTTAGACCTCTGAATAAAAGATAAGATCTTGTGTGTTATAAGCACTTGATTTAACACAAGAATCATCGTAACCGCCATTTAAATACAGCCGCATTACGAACCGAATCGGGAACAGTTCTGCCTTGCGTAGCCTTGTAAAACTGTACAGGAAAGTTGCAGCCAATTTACTAAGAACAACTTTGAACTCTCCATCATAAAGGAAAAAATTCCAAACAATATTTTCATGATAATGTCGTCCATAGCATTTTATAGCAGAGGAAAAATTAATATCTACATCATATGTTAACTTTAAAAAATTCTATAAAACACTAAATATATAATAAAAAATATGCATATAAGGACATATGTAAACTGCTTTGGTAACATCATATTACAGATGTTTTCAGTGCATTGCAGAGTTTCCAAGGAAACTTCAGACAAAGCTATATTTGCTTTGAGGAAGTACTGTATAATGCCATTCCTAAAGAAGCATAAACATTTTTCCAGTAGTAAGATGTACTCAAACCACAATATTACTTAGTACTGGGTGTCTTCAAAACAACTAGCTAAATGTTGCTTATATTATAAACGAGAAGTCCTTCATGTAATTTTTGTCATAAACTGGACCGAGCTGTGAGCGATATCATTATTGTGCTGATGGCTGACAGCGTACAGGCGTTGGAGGTCGAAGAGCCGGATCCTCTCGCGTACGCATCTGGGCAAGGGAGAGAGGGGAGAAGATGAGCCAGCGGTGAGGAGAGCAGCCCTCATTAACCCGCCCTCCCCCCGATTTTAATTCTGTTCCCTTCGACGGAGCGTGGTGGCGGCAGGAGGGGACGTGGCTCCCGGGAGGGTCGGACCCCAGGCGCAGTCCCCTCCTCCTGCTCAGTACCCGCCTGTTTACTGGGTTTCACCTCTCCGACTGAATTCCTGCCTTAACTTAAAGTCCTGCCGCTGTTGCGTTGAGGCCACTTTCACAGTTACGTTGCTTCGTGGCCTGTTTACTTATTATTTTTTTCACCATTGTACTGTATTCCGGGTGTTACTCACGGCACCAGCGTGGCAGGATCCACGTCCCGGAGGAGCTGCGTGCCTGCTCTGTGGCCTGCCGCCTCGAGCCAGACAGGACCTGGCATGTGTTCCTGCTCTCCTTCGCTCTCCTGGGTCTGCTGATTAAATTCCTCTCTATGGTTTAAATAGCCACAGTGTACAACCGTGGTGGAGATAATGCTGATCTCACCCTGGGTTTTTTACATTGCTGTAATTTTAATGCCATATTCCTGCATTGCAGAGGCTCCTGATTTAATGCAGCTTATAAACTGTGGCATTATTAATGGAAGATGGGACATGGAGATTTTGCAAAAGCAGTGTCGTGTAATAAAATACTCTCTTTTCTGTTTGTTCTTCTACACAACCTCATTTCCCTAAATAAATATTTATGCATCCAACACACAATGGAATATGGCCATACAGTAGCCTTATAAATTTAAAAGCCTCTGAGCACCGCATTTTGTATTTTGTTAGAGTGAATTGCAGTGAAACAATATATTTAATATATATATGGGTATGGAAGTAAGAGTGTGGAAAGTGTCTAGAAATCTTAAATAGAACTATCGCTACTTATGATGGTGGTTCTTAAGGTTTAATCTTGACTCAGGATGACATCAGAACCGGCCACCGGCCCCGCGTAAGTCTGGGTTCCAGGTCCCTGCCTGGGCAATGGCCAGACCTACGGCCTGCCCCCGCTCCGCCTCAAGGCTCTGCTCCGTCCCCACGTGTAGACGCAAAGGGTGAAGCTCTGCCCCGCCGGCGGGTGAGGACGAGGAGGAGCAGGGCTGGGGACGCTGGCTCCCCATGGCACCGACCCCGGTTCCTCCCGTCCTTACTTGATATCTTTGGGATTCGGATTTGTTCACTGCTGCTGCCGTCGCCCCCGTCACTGAACGGCTTTATCTCGATGATGTAGTCCTCGTCGAACGGCAGGGAGAGCTCCACGGAGGTTTTATTCGTCTCTATGACTGATGTGCTGCTCTGCCTGTTCCACCTGTACAAAACCTGCAGTGAAGGGGAGAGAGAAAAGGAGGCAGAAACGGCAGAGACGTCCGTTGCCCTAAGGGCCTCCAGATTTACTGCTGCTCTTTTCCTGCCTCTGATGCTCAGCCCCGCGTCTGGTCACCAGCGGCTTTTGCCGGGGCTTTGCTGGAGACCCCCGCCAGCACAGCGGTGACAGCGCCTGGGGCGGGGAGGTGACGCTGGGAGCGGGGCGATGCCGATGTGCAGCACCGAACGTGGCTGCGGTACCTGGTGGAACCCCTCGGCGAAATCTTCAATTTCATCAAGCTAAAATAAATCCCAAGGCTAATTTATAGAGGTCAAACACTTCTTGCGACATTTCTTTAGGAAAGTGAGCTGGGTTATTTGATGCAGTGCCACAAACGGCTTCCCAGAATAAATAAATGGCTTTTCTCAATGACCTTCTAAGATCTGGGAATTCTATTAATTTAGATCATCAATTGTGACATAACATATAAGATTTCCAGGAAAAAAAGAAGAAAAATGGGCAATATTTTGCTATCATTCAGGAAAGAAATCAATCTGGTAGTGCTATCCTAACAGTAAGTGTAAGAGAATTTTATAGAAACCCACGAGGTGGAGTTTGCTTTTGCAGGGTGATGAGTCTCTCTCACCCTCTTTCAGTTGACTTCCTCATTTGCATTTCAAACCTAAAATGCGTAGTGAAAAGTTGGTCCAAACTGCTGAGGTTCATCTCAGGTTTTGACTAAAAGCCCTGAGGAATTACTTATTTTTGATAATCCGATACAGTGCACCAAAGATACTTAAAAGTTAGTGCAGAAATCAGGAGAGCTGGCACAGGCTCACAGAGCTGACGCCGCCGGCGTTGCAGACTGCAAACAAAATACAAAGCGTGTCCAGGTTCTTCATCGTTTCAAGCTCTGGTGGAAAACGTTTGCACAAATCAATCCTCAAGGCAACGGCTGGCAATTGCACACTGATGTCTTCTTTGGGCCAAATTAAACCCTTGTGTAAAGTGATAGAGCTGAATTCTTCCCAAGATTTCTCTCTAGTTAAATTATTCCCTATTAAAACTGCTACTAATGAGGATTCTCTTTCTTTTCCTTTTGGCTTTGCTTTCTGAAGAAAATAGGAGCTATTAAAAAAGCATTTTATTTATCTGCAGTTAAGGAGTCAACTACAGCCTTGGAAGGTTTCTCCCAGAGGAAGGAGAGCAGGTGGGAGCTTTGGAGGGAAGGAGCGGGTGACGGTCCGGGGGCTGAGACTCGCACGGGTGCTCGCAGGGCTGAGCACCGCCGGGGCGAGGGCGAGCAGCCCGCAGAACCTGCTTGCTCTGCACAGGTACGGCCTCCGTTTCTGGAGGAATGTTCCTATTTTAACCCGGAAAACAACGTAAGGACCATGCAAAACACCTCGTCCGGTCTTACTACAAACCCAACCTGACACTGGATTCATGGCAACGTTCCCCATAGCCCAATACCAGAACCCAGGGGCAGCTGAAGCGCAGCGAGGCTTCGCTGCCGGCGAGGGAGGCGCAGGGCAGTGCTGCCCAGCTGCCTGTGCTGGCAAAATACTCACTTTGTAGCCTCTCACTTCGGACTCGTTATCCAGCGCTTTCACTTGGTCCCAGTTCAGGATGATCTTGGAGTCGGATGAATTCCATATGATGTTCCCGGGGGGCTGACTGGGTGCTATACCAAAATATACACAGCACTGTAATTGCAAGGAGCACCGTTTCCCCGTTGGATCCCTCCCAGTACCAACGTGGCTTCCACCACCATAGCTGAGCGTGCCCAGAGTCCTATCGCTCTGCAAAGCTAATGAGCTGTTTCACCGATCTGTGCCCTCAAGGTCACAGGAGGTGTGACACAACACGGTGCTCTAAATGAAAAAAGGATTCAGTCAGTTGCTCAACATGCCTGAGACCAGAAGAAAAAAGCCCTCTTGAACGATGAGATAAATATTTAATTTTCCTGCACAGCTGTGATTTCAGTTTTGCATGCTCTGCCTACTTAACACGGGGAAGAGCCTTACAAAAAAAAAAAAAAAAAAAAAAAAAGCAGCTGGCAAGTCCTCTGCCCAAAAACCCGGCAAAGAGAAGTCTGACAGCTCCTTCAGACTCGAGAAGGCTTGAGAACGAGAGAGGGGAGCGCTGGCAGAAGCCCTCCCAGGCAAGAGCCCCCATCCTCACGAACACTCACGTGGCTTTTTGGTTGTGACGTTGACCGCGGCGCTGGAGGGGCCGGTCCCAGCTGTGTTGTACGCTCTGACTGCCAAGTGATACAGCGCGTTGCCTCTCAGGTTGCTGACTTTTGCAGATGTTTGATTGCCAACGGTTCGAATCCTTTTTGCGTTTTCTTCCTTTTCGTCATGTCTCCAACATCTGACCTGAGAAGCAGAGCAGGTACGTGTTCACCCGGCAGAACCCGGTCGTTTCCAGCGCTAACTCGGGCACTTCTGCCCAAAGCGCCACAGGGCTGCTGCGCCCTGATGCAATCGCTTCTCGGTCCTTGCTAGGAACCAGCCTGGCTGCAGCGCTCCCTGCCCAGGACCTCAGACGCTGCCTGGCCACATTCACGCAGGATTCCCCCAGCAAGCTCCGCTCTCCATTTTCAGCCAGATCACACACAGAAAGATGTGTAATTGTTTACCATGAGAGAAAAATCTCCACGTACTGAAGAGACAAAAGGAAGCAGATACGCCACAGGAACCCACCCGCCCCATGGCAGGCAGCAGCGGCACAGCAACGACTGCCCATGACGTATCTCCGCACCTCCTCAACGCTTAGTACTGAAAGGATGCTGCGCTGTGTTTCCATACCTCATATCCCTGTATTCTTCCTTTGTGCTGGTTCTCCTGAGGGGGAGCCCAAGAAACTTCAACATCTGAAGCAGAAAGACTTCTGGCCAGAACAGTGGTTGGGGCTCTCATCGGCTCTGGGTAGAGGAGTTAAAAATAAAATTAAGAGTTTTCAATTTTACGTTCAATTAGTCCCAAACTTCAAGGCATTGATTTTCTTCATTGCACGAGAAAAGAGGCATGCCACCAAAACAAACTTCCCCATTTCAAAATGATGGCCTGTCAGCCTGTGCCAGACGGCACCGCTCCTCTGCCTAAGAAATAATAAGATGTCATTACTAAACTCAACCCAGGATACTATGTACTGTAATTAGGACAAGAGGGAACATTTTCTAATCAGTGGACATTAATTCACAGTAAATCTCAGCGGAATTCTTTCCAGATTACATATTACTTTTCCATTAATATCAAAAGATTTCATTACGATTAATGTTATTTTAATGACTATCAAAAGAATTAATCACAGCTCGCCATTTATTATAAATCAGAGCAAGGATTAGATATCAAAGGATATGTCAAGGTGGATACTAAACCCTTTCAGACCCGGCCAACCTCCCCGTGTCCAGCGGCGGGGAGGAGGGAGGGGCGGTGGGGTGGGCTCCCGGCTCTACCTTCCTCTGCCGAGTAGACGACCGTCACGGGGCTGAACGACCCTTCCCCCTTGTTGTTGTACACCCCCACTTTAACTTCGTAGGGGGAGAAGGGCGGCAAGGTCTCGTTGCGGAAGACGTATCTGGCGGCGTCCGGGGAGGCCACGACAGTCTGCATCCAGCTGACGGTGCCGAAGGGGCGGAAGGCCACCACGTACCCAAAGCCGCCGCCGTTCTGCAGCTCCTCGGGCACTGTCTGTGGGCAGGCAGACCGCGGGAGAAACGGCACTTTCAGCAAAGGCACGCACTTGTCTCTCCATCTGCATGCTGGCTATCGCTCTCGGTCCTTCTAAAGCTACTGTCCTAAATTAGAGACGGGAGGCAGCTGGAGCCCTATCCACAGCGAACCTGAACTCATCCCAGCCCGTCTGAGCTCCGCGAGCTCCCTGTAGGCAGGGGAAAAGCAGCGTCTCGGGAAGACACTTCGCCTAAGACTTAATTCCTCTTCATAGGTGCCCAGCTTCCTTCACTGACTAGATGGAGCCTCCAGTAATTTTAGGCACTCCAGTAACTAAGAGGCTGAGGTTTGTTGGGGTGAACCAAGGACACGGTTCCTGCTTTCCCAATACTCGTGCCGCTGCTCTCGCATCTTTGCAGCGGCACGTGAAGCCCTGCAGAACGTATCCTGGCAATGTCCCGGTCAGCGTGGGGGCTGGCGGTCCCTCGCCGGCCCATGGCTGCACAGTGACCCAGACTGGGTCAGTCGACTACCGTATCCCGTACGACGTGAGCTGTTAGACAGCGCGGTGGCAGGGAGTGACTTGTCACAAATGTGATGGAGAAAGGTGGGTAGGTCCTAGCTAACAGCTAGAAGAAACAACCTGTCACCTCCAGCTCACTTCTGGACACACTGCCGCTTCCTATTGTCAGGCTTGCAGCCCCCTCAAAGCTGCATCAAACCCCCAAGCTTCAAGGTATTAAAATAATTTGTAATTCTAGGCCACTCGCCCACTGATGTCCACAGTGCTTACGCACGAGCAGAGGTTACTTTTGGTGACTGCTTCTTACTCTGTGTTGTAAGGCTCAAAAAATACACCAGACCATAAAGAAAAGGCCTCTGGACATTTAAAAGAATAAACTGACTGTTCTATCAAAATACAAATTATATTTGGTGCAAATTATGACTCAAAGTCACGGCTGATGTTCTTGCCATGTGTGTTTTTGAAACATATTGCAGTATCTTTAGGAGACATGGCGTAGCTAATTAGTCCAACGGAGAAGGAAATGTAGCACACTGAGCTGTGTGGTAAGGACAAAAACCCATTTATAGTTTCTTAATAACCTTAAAAATATCTCTGGCGATTCATTCTGCCAGCTTGGTCAGAAATAGCACTAAGTGGAAGTGTTAGCATGTCTAGTGAAGTTCATTATTAGGAAAAATATGCCAGCTGCATCGCATCATAACATGAAAATATGAGCAGACAAATGACTAAAGTTCTAACCCCGACTGCCTTAAGGAATATTAAACATTTTTCATCTCTGTATCTCCTCTTGCTGGCTTTCATTAGCTGCAACGAAAGCCAGCATGCAACGCGTTGTGCTAACTCTTAACTATTTGCTGCCCTGTCTCCCGGTGCAGGGCTACGGGTGGAGCTTGGGAGCCAGCCCCAACAATTCTAACCAGGTCAGGACGTGCCCAGCCAGGTCTCACAAACTCTGTTTCTGCCCATCCGTGTTTTGCCGTATGTGTACGGACGTGCTGAGAGCCAGGGGGAGCTGAGCGCGTCTGGAAGCGGCGACGCGCAGCCCGTTCCCGGCAGCCCCCTGCACAGCACTTCTCTGCTGGCTTCCTTGCGCGGGGCCTGCAATGGGGAAGGGGTTTAGCTCAATTTTAATAGCTGGGCTATTTTTATCACACAATCTGGGCTTTTTACTGCAAACTGTTTGCAATCTACAGAAGCTTCACTGGGGTCTGCGGTGAAAGGGTGCATCTAGATCAGGATCGCACCAATTTTCCTCTCCGTTTGGGCTCCACTTACCTCCCAAGTAATGACCAGCTCAGACTTGCTCCCTCCACCTCCACTGACGTTAGCCGGGGTCACTTCGGGAACTGCGAAAAAAGATGCAGATGCACATGGTGACTCTGAAGCCATAAAATGAAATGAAATGGACTTACGCAGCAACAGGACTCTGCTGGCCTTCCCCTGCTGGGTACCAGAAACGCTATTAGGAAATGGCTAATTTGCCACGGCAAATAGCACATTAAAAGTATGTCAATAATAGTATATTAAAAGTATGTCAATTAACTTGTGTATTCAGTTACTAATTGTTTAGTTTAAACATTTATCTTTCAAAAAAAAAGGGCTTTTATTTATTTTCCTAGTTTGTATTCTGTTCCATCACAGGCTAAAACAGAACCGAGGAGCCAGGTACCAGGGTACCCACAACCGAGGCACACGTCCCCGCAGCCACCACGCCGAGCCTGCTGCTTGCCCTCCTCCCTTTCTGCCAGATGCCAAGACAGGGACAGCACCAAGGAGCTTTAGAGCTCTCCAGGCTGGCAGGTTGTGCCGAAACCCCCGAACGCTTCAGGCACTACTCAAGGTCGCCGTTAAGCTCTGCCCGCAGCAGCCTGAAGATGCAGTGTGGTTCCAGGAGGCCGTGGTGTGTTTGGGAGAGGATCACGGAAGACAGACCAGACCTTCAGTATGCCCATGAAATGATCCAACCCATAGGGCAGGGTGGTCACTCCAGCACCGATGGCCCCCAGGGTGAGACCCAAGTTACTCCAAGAACCACGGAAGCCCCCTGCATCCAGGGACTGCTGACTTTCCAGCTGTGAAGCCCAAACTCCTGCTCTCAATGTGCTGTAGTTTGCGCTCCAGAGTTTTGATCACATCGATCATGGGAAACCAGAGGGGCTGCTCTCAGAGTTCATCCCTCTCATCCATGGATACTGGGAAGTATTTTCCAAAAAACCTGCCCAAATACCCTTTTTTTTTTTTGGAAAATCATTGCTTGCTGCAGGGAAAGGGCATGAAGAGCTCCACAACTTCCCCTGCCTGTTGTATGCACACAAATAACGTGCCACGGGGAGAAGAGCAATGGGTGCAGAAAGCACTGCTCAGCTTTCTCCAGTGCAACACATCCGTTAGCACTGACGAGCATTTATTTATTTATTCAACAAGATTTAGCTCAGTTGCCCACCACTACTTACGAGCTTCTTCAGTTCTTCTCTTCTCTGAAGGTCTGCTGGGTTCTCCAATCCCAATCAGGTTGGCAGCCACTACTCGAAATTCATACTCGACCCAAGGGTTCAGACCCACCACTGTCGCTGTGAACGTCCTGCCATCGATGATCTCTGGAACTAGGAGACAGCCACAGGTCAGGGGTGCAGTGAAAACCACTACAAGTATTCAAGGGTGCTGAGAGAAGGTCAGAGATATCCTTAACAGAGAGGGGTTAATGTAAATACAAAGTGAATAAGGATTGATAAAGCTTTTCTCATTTTTCTAGCATTTTGTAAACTGCAAAGAAGTAAAAGAGGCAGCATTAAAACATTGTGTGTGAATTTCCTGCTATTAAAGAGTTTCTCCTAAATTGGCACTTTTTGAAAACAAAGTGTCGAGACAACAGGTGTAAAGGGGTTTTATTTTTCTCTTCTTAAAACACACTGTTCCCTCTATTTAATGGTTAGTTGAACAAAATTAACCTCTGACGGAATGAACAATTACATCATGGGATTTTTCCCTCTATCAGTAAAATAATTCTACTTAAAGACAGGCCAGATGACACGGTCTGTCCCTGAGGGATGTCTTTATAGACCACAATTACTGTTGTATATCTCCAGCGCGGCAACAAAAAATAGGAATTCATTCTGTTTTCCCTTAAACATTCATGAGAAAAATGGATGACTAATAGCACTGACTGGACCCTAAACCTTTGGGTTGCCAAACTTGAAGCTAGTTAATAAGACTGATGCTTTGCAGGCAGGGAAATTAATTTTCCCTTCAGGGTGCAGAGCTGCTCCCCGTGGCCCGCGCGTGGTCCCGATGGATGCGGCTTCCATCGGTGGAGCTCTTTGGGGCCAGGCGATGGACCTACCTGTGCTCACCGCTTGCCATCCCACCGAGAAGGGGGTCCTCGCCTGTACGACATACATTGTGATAGGGCTGTGGTTGTCTGCTCCTGGCCTCCAGGACAGCTGAGCGGTGGTGTCGGTGATTTCATCTATCGTCACGGCTTCTGGGGGACCTGGGGGACCTGTTGGAAGAATCACGGGAGAGGGGTGCTTGAGCTTTGCGGTGACTCGAGGAAGGAGCGCTCTGGTCCTCTTCCCTTCCTCAGGACACGGGGAACCGAGTCCCTGCAGAGGCGTTAAGCGCAGCCCCAGCTCTCATTGCCTCGATGAGGCTGGGAGGCACGAGGGAGATACCCAAACCGGAGAGCACCAGCTTCACCCGCAGCCCCCAGGTGCCTCCACCGTCCTCGCCGCACGCCTGAGCCACCCGACAGAGCACGGCACTCGCTGCAGCCCTGGGCACCACCTCCACCATCTCACGGCTGCTGCGCCGGGACTGACCTCGATACAAGTACGATTTCTGGCTGCAGCCTGGATGCACCCAGAGGCTGGTGAGGAACGAAGGACCTGCCTGTAACTAGCATCGCGTCTGAGCAGGGACCAGTATTTTCTGCTTCACTGCTGGGTTCCTTTGAACCAGCAAAGCACCGTAGCACATACCGATCAGAGAGAGGACCCCTCTCCTGCATCACGCGGCCGTCGCTGGCAGTAGCGGTACCTGAGATGAAGTCTCTACCCAAAAGCACCATCTCAAACAAACTCTCTTGCAATTCACTCTGTGGACCAAAATTATTCTCATATGATATTCAGAGAGCTGGACATGCTTAAATATCTAAAATACCCCCAAACCTTCCAATATCCTGTCTTTAAAATGAAAGTTTCAGCAGGTCTAGCCAGATTTAATTTCTCAGAAATTAGAACTTTAAATTGTTTTGCTGGGGGGGAGCAGCCATGCAACGCAGCCTCACGGAGCCGTCAGCTTAAAAATCTTCTAAAAATTATTCTGAAGGCTCTATTTATGCACCAGCTCTTCACCCCTCGCCCCAGTCTCACAGCCCAGGGATATTTCCCAATTTTTGTGCAGTCGGTGAGACAGTACAGCACAAATATCAGTGCAGCCGTGGGACCACTGGCCAGGACAGAGACGTCCCTGTTCATGTTTTTAGGAAACGACAAGATCAGTATTTTTACCATCATCAAGGGTCATTTTCTTGTGAGAATTTAATGTTCCTCCTGTTATTTACAGAGCCAGCACCAAGGAAATTACTTAACCGAGGTGCCCATCAGCAGGTTGTTTTGAAATGTTTGTGCAAAATGGAAAAAAAAAAAAAAAATCATCTGAAATCATGCTGTGGGAAAAACCTGAGAGTCAGTGCAACGGGGAGCAACCTCCTGGGGAGGAGAGCTGGGGCGGCGCTGCCTCCGGGGGCCCAGCTCTCTGCACAGCGCGTGGCTAAGAACGTCCGCCTCCGTGCTCCTGCGGGGCAAACGTGGTAAAAAGCAAACCAATGTGATGAGGATAACAGAAACGCCCAGCCGGAGACAAGGGCACATTTCTCAACGGTTCAGGGCCTTCTGAACTGGCACGGCTTTGACAAAGAGGGAATTTCTTACTTCTTTTTCATGCTCTCCTTTCACCGAGTTGCCTGAGAACTTACGTTACATGGAGAATGTGCAAGCCATGATTTGGCTGGGGTCTACAAGAACTGGGGGTAGCAGGTACACAGCAGCACCAAAGTTTGCTTTCCTCAAAGCTAACGAGCCGGAAAATAAACACCATATTTATTGTAAGGATCCAGCCTCAGGTAAACTAATTGCATCTCTGTTAAAGTCATACTTACGGATCACCTGTGTATGGTAATGAATAGATCTTGAAATGTCAGTGAAGTTACTAAATCATGTTGCTTCTAGAAACGGAACAATATTGCTGGGCAGAAACACGGTGAATAAGCTGGATACTGTTTCTGCTGCACAGTTCATCAAATAAATGAGCTCAGCTGGTGCCAGTTTTGCATTCAGGACACGAACATGTACTAGTGTGTTTATCTGTGCTGTGGGTCTGTTGTATGAGTATGTATATATGAAAGAATCTTCATATGCGCTGTTTGAAAACGTACTGTGAACCCCAGCGTGTACTCAGAGCTTATTTCTTAGATTAATTACAAGATGCTGGGATCCCAATGAACGTCTCCGAGCCCAGGAGTTGTCTTACCACCGGCAGAAGATAGGAGAAAAAAAAAGAAAAAAAGAAATTTTACAACAACAACAACAACAGTAACAAAATTCAAATACCTCTTACAATCAGGTCTGCAGCAGCCGATAGCTTGTCCACACTGGTTTGCACCATGCAGACGTACTTCCCAGCATGCTTCAGCTGGATGCTTCTGATCATCAAATCACCAGCTGAATCCTGCTGATAAAGTAGGGAAAAGTGGTTACAATTACTTTTTAATGAGCGCTAAACATCATTATCACATGAAGGACACTGTGACTAATGGATTTACTTTACACTGGCTGATGAAAACATTAGTAATGCAAGCCGTGGCCTATTAAAATTATGTGAGTCTGCCTTGAAGATAAGAGCGGGAGCGTTTCTAAAATTATGGCTCCTACAAGGGGTAGAGGAGCCCGGTTCGGGTCCGTTAAGCAGTTTCCCCATTAAAATGATGTGACAAAGCTTACGTAGGACAGGTTCGCTCCAATTCCTCCTTTATCTCTCTGGATATCCAACTTACAGCCTCTCTGGTGTTCAGCTGCCCAAGTTGTGTCTACATCTATTTCCTAAGTGAACACCAGCCCAAATTATGAGACATCTGCAATAGTTTCACGGCTTTGTGTTACTGCCAGCATTTTGATTGCCTGGCGTTTTTGTGCTAAAGATCATGAGAACAGCACTCTCCGAGGAAATCCTGCATCACCTAACAGCGGTAATTTGTTTTCCAAACGCCAAGTGCATGTCTGATTAACTGTTGAATAGAACTAATTACATTTCTGTATGTATAGGAAGCTGAAAACTCTCTAAATTTTTCTCCAGACACAAAGCATTGGATACATTAGAAATCTCAGGGTAACTTTGTGATTGTGGCTTTCTGACTGAAGAATATTAATAAAGTTTGTAGTTTTAGCTTTGCAGGCCAATCAGTCGCCGGGATGTGCCGTCGCTGCTGATGTGCGCCCTAGGCATCAATCTCCAAGTGCATCTTTTATTTATTTTTTTTTTTTTTTTTAGGGATAACAGCAAGGCTTGTAAATTGTATTGCCTTTTCCTTTCAGCATTAAATTTCACTCCTGACAAATGTAAACACGGACTGCCAGTCTGCCTGAAAGCCGGCGGAGCGCATGGCTCTAAAACCTCCCTTAGAGCAACATGCAAAAACCTTTCCAGTTTTTTACCTCTGCTGAAAAATTGTTGCATTTCTTTCCTTCTTTTTCTTGCTACCTTCACCCAATAAAAGTGGAAAAAAATTCATCAGGAAGGATGAGAAAACATTTTTAAATTGCAGCTAAGTTAGAAATTAAACTCCCCAAGTCACACTTAATACCCAACTGGCTAAATTAGATGAAATCTGAACTGCAAAGGAAAATGTTACGGTTACGAAGGAAAGCAAACTTTTTACCCATCTTCCAGACACAGCCTGTGAAAGCCCTGCTCCTCTTTTAGTAAAAATTATTTGGAAATTATTTTTGGCCAGAAGAACGGCATGAGAAGCTGGGGAAGGTCTGACCGATGTGCTACGTCCTCGTGTGAACCCCCTTTCTAACAGGCGGCGTCCCGAGGTACCTCCTGTAGCACTGACCCTCTCCAACTCCCCAAATTCATACTGCAACGTCTTGAGGAAATCTACAGCTACTAGGGAAGGTGAAACAACCTGCCCTTTCCAACTGAGGCATAAGCAGAGAAAATCAAGCGGGGCAGGACCATCACGGGCACCCTGACCTTGCTGCGGGCTCTCCGGTCCTAGGCCTTCCTGGAGAGGCAGAAAATGGCAAATGGCCCAAGCAGATTTTCTCCTCTGCTAACGAAGGAAAGTAATTCCTACCTTCACTACCTTTTCTTCCCCCTACCTGCCCCCCGTGGTCTTGAGCGACAGTGGTCGCCAGGGCTGTATTTAAGGGGCACTCTAACCACCATCTCAGACCTGACACTTCTCCTAGCCATCGGATTTCCATGAACATGATCTTTTTGGCCTTCAAATAAACAATTCTCAGGATATTGCAAAAGTTTGCGTTGTCAGTCGGTACCGACTGGTTTCCCATAAACAAACAAACAGCCCAAAGATACCAACGTGACATTGCCAGGAAACGTGCACAGATAACACTGAAGAGAAATGTCATCTCCGACGGTGGGCGATGCTTGTAATACTATGTAGGTTATTTTGCGTAGAGAAAAAATACTTATTCTAAGCATGTGGTCACAAGAGGAGGACAGAGAGAGAAACATGCCAGCAAACACTGCCTGAACAAATTTGAGGCTATCATCCTAATTTTTCGCTCTTTTCTGTATAAATACAAAATTCTACAATTGTTGTATTTTACATTTCTTTTACTGTTACAGCCAGAGAAAAACTATTATGAACTTCTTCCTTGAATGAGAAGGCAGTTTTTTGCAATGAGAAAACATATTCTAGGTCTATTCTACATCCCACTGCAACGCGAGTGCATTGTTCACGCGAGCAGATTTAAGTCATGTCGTTAAGAAACCATAACAATTCTACATCAACTATAACGAAGCAGTATACTGGCAACGTTCATCCTCTCAGCCTGTAAGACAGAAGTTAACATCTCCTACTATTAACTCAGCCCATTCCTTCTATTAGAGGCCCTTCTCTGTTACCTACTTTTCTTACTGTGAGGAGATTGCTTTAGTATTAATACTTACCCCTCCTACTCTTTCAAAGTGATCCCCATCTTTCTCAAAGTCTATCAGGTGTCCATTAAATGACCAGGTAAACAGGATATCTAGTGAGTGGTCGTGAGATACCTGACAAGGCAAGACAATGCTTTCTCCAACAGTGACATCCATGCTGAAAGGTGACACCATAACCCGGGTTGGATCTACAAACAACAAAGAAAACAAAGGGGAGGGAAAAAAAGCATTAATCCTGTCCTTCTGAGAAATGGAGAGGGATGAAGAGCTGAAAAATGATCCTAAGCAGTCTACCACAACTGCAGCACTGTCACCAGAACTTGAAATATTTGCAGTGATCACTTGGGAAGATCCTTAATGCAACAAGTGAACTATCACATCTTTGATTTTATCCTCTGATACCTTTCTCTTTTTGTTCGATTGAAACACTATTAATAAATCCTCCAGAACCCTCTTCTAGACACCACCCTGACAAACAAGGAGAAGAGAAAGGCTGGAAAAGATTGCAGCCAATCTGCAAGGCTTAGTTAAAATTTTTGAAAAAGCTTGGAGATCAGAGATTATTTTATTTGAATGTTCTTTCTTCAAAGATTTGTTTCACAGTCATACATTGCTCACCACGGTTATCAAAAAACCTATTTTGTTGTTCCTAAATTAAATGCTGCCTTAAGAAAACTCTCTCAATGTAAAGTCTCCAAAACTGGAATGAAGAAAGGTGTATTAAAAACACGAGTGCTATCTGCTCGGACCTGGAAAGGGAAAGATTAGACTAACATTATTGTTGTATGTTATGCTTATTGAAAACTCGGTGCTTGTTTAGAACATTTGCAATGTTCTATCGGATGGATGCTTTTACAGTTTAAATCCAGGTAGTTTTCTTTGTGCGAGGAGGGCCCACACAAAGACTAAATACACATGATGAGCGATACCAACCAAACCTTTCACACCATGGAAACCAAAACTGCCCCAATAAGCCAAGTCCTGTAGCAATGTCAGACAGAGGGGTTTTGGGGTAAGACGTGGCTCTGGGTGTAGGAACTCCTCTGCCTGACGTGCAGCTGATCTGGGTCAGGTAGTAGGTCAGACTGACTCACTTTTTAGGACCTCTGCGGTCTTACACGACATGTCACCGACCTGCTGAAGGAGACCTGAGCACATATTTTGGGGAGGTGAAGCAGAAGAAAGGTGAGAAAGGGCATGGTCCTAACCACGACATTTCCAAAGGGAAGCCCCCAAACCTGCGGGTATCTGTGACGTCGCAAGTTCTGTCTGGTAACGATGGGTGGCAGCACGTGCCAGCTCCACCCTGAGCTTCAGGACTAATCCCTTATTCACAGCTGGAGTTCACATGGACCCTTTACCACTGGTTTAATTGTCTATTTTTCACTTTAGTCGTGCAGTACGAGCAAAATGGTGGCACAGAAAGATGAGCCATGACACATTATGCAGACTTCAGCTCCTCATCTGTGCCCGTGAATTCCCTCTGCCTCTAAAGTTAACATTTGTCTTTCATTTCTGTTGACAAAAATGCAGTAATTTTTTTCTACAGGGCCTCAGAGGAAATGAAAAGGAGAAAAAAAATTGCTTAACAATGAGACCAAAAGTCTGAAAATCATATACAGATAGATATTTTTGCTTATTCCAAAAGTCTATTCTGCACAGCTGTCATGCTAAAATACTACGAGCATTATTCATTCTCTGGTACATGAAACCAAAATCTTAACTACTTCTTCCAGAGACTATTGGCCAACTACTTAATTCTCTGCCAAAATAATAAGTAACAAAGATATGCACTGGGCAGAGCTACTCACCGAGATTCACGGGATGCAAAGCTGTTCCTGGATTTTCAAAGACCTTACCAAAAGTAGTGGAAAAAGTTTCATCGCTGACCATAAAGGCTTCAGATCAAGTCCTCAGGGACTCAGCTGTATTATCTTGGACAAATTTAATTCATCTATAGTTTGGTTTCACTTCTAACAAAAATAGAGTAACTCTTAGCCAAACCACAGTAGGTGTTCTGAGGCTTAACTAATTAATACAAGTAAAGCATTTGAAATTTCTCAGGTTAAGCAGTATGAGTGCACGTTACTAAAATAATGTTTAATTATTTTGTAGACTTATGACATTGGTTTTGTATAACTGGTGTATCAGGATTTTATGGTCACTTGGGATTGCTACTACTGAAACTCCAGACGACCCGGAGCATCCCAAGCTGAGGATGCCACAGAAATGCCAGCACCTGCAGCGGGGCTCAGCACGGAATCACTTACTGAAATTCCTTTCAGCATCAGAAGTTCCTCCTCTGCCCTGCTCAAAGCCCGTATGAAATATTTATGAAGGACTTGACTCTGAGATGAAACGGGTGCCTCCCACAAAGCCCTGAGCTCTCCTCCATGAGTCCCGCAATGATCCGTGTAAGCTGCGGTCCTTAACAAAGTGTCAGCACCGAGGTTTTGCTGTAGCTAACCCTCGCCTCCACGGCACTTTCTGCAAGAGGTGAGAAGTCCACGCCACAAATCTGGTTCTTCCTGCTGCAACACATACAGTTCATAAACATATAACGAATGAAACGCGGGTGTTTGCTAAAGACCTGCTTTCCAGAGCAGCTCAGCGCAGCTCCTGTGGACACCGTACGAACTGCGAGTGCCTGGTGCCTCCGAAAATCAGGCCCCCAGGTCTCAATCCAATCATGTCAAGAAGCATTGCCATCTAATAGCTGAACACACCAGGTTATGGGAAGGGCTGATCCAGCCTGGTGACAAACGATGCACGAGGAGGGCTCTGACCCAAGCCGTGCTCAGCGGGACCGCGAGCCCCAGCAATGCACTTTACAAATCACCCCAAGGAGAATGCTTACCCATCTCTTCTCAAGGGCTGCGAAAGCTGGAAAACAAAAACATCCCCTCCCCCCCGTTTGATATCCCTAGCAAAGCAGCAAATGGAAAATGTTATTCAGGAGCCAATTGAGGGCAGCCGAGTGTAGGCACACCTCAGCGATACGCAACCAAGTGGTAATCAAAATTATTAGATTTGCACTTTCAAAACCTGTAACATCAGGCACTTTTTAAACTATGGTGAGTGCTCTAATGATACCAAAATTGTGTTGGTTAGCATCCAAGTCAAAAATAAATAAAAAAACCCCAAGCCACCCAATGATTGTTTCTCTCTGAGCTAGCTACTCGTTTATTTATTGGCCACTTGCAAGGTGAGGGAGGCAATTAGGGAGACAGATACTATGGGAGAGCTGATCTTAGTGCTCTGCTACTGTCCTGTCCCCCCAAGTGCAGGTTATTTTCCTTAAATGTCAAGGACAGTTAATTAAAAAAAAAAAAAAATAGTGATTTTGGTGATATGTTGAGCTGATATTCTCCTTTGGAACACTCTGGTGCATTTTGAGAAAGTTTTGAAAATAGGGCTGAAAGATTCAGTTGCAGATGAAGGGTGAGGGTTTCTGTTAGGAACGTCCCCCCTCACAGCCGCCTGCAGGTTTCTGAGCCCTCCACAGCGGGAAGCAGCGCCTGGCAACCCCCAGCTCCCCTGCAGAAAGAAGAGACAAAAACCAAGCAGAATTGTTCCCCATCACTGCTGAGAAAGTTTGTCTGGCATTTTTTTATTCCTGAGAAGTTTTTAGAGGAGAAATGAGTGGATAGCGCATGCCAACGCGAACATTCCCAAGGGATGAAAAGCTCTCTGTCGTCAGGAGGTAAAACAATCTGGTTTTCAGTCTCAAATATGAAACAGGAGGAAAAAAATAACGACACTGTACCTGCAAACGTGCAGCAGGCATCCTGTAGGTACAGCAAATGCAGTGACAGCAGACGTGAGCGAGTCGACATTGGCCTGGGCTTGGCTTTGCTACGGAGGAAGAGGAGACCCTTCCTGCGCAGCCCGGAGAGCGCGGAGGCAAGGCAGAGCTTACGGGGTGCCACTCTGCAGAATGGTGGGTGCTCTGTCTGTAGGTGTCACTGAAGGCTCAGGGAAGCAGGGAAGCTCCCTCCCACCCTTCCTTTCATGCCGACATTTTCAGGAGCACACTTTTCGTGTGACAGAAACGGCACTTTTTTGTTTTGCGTGCAGTGTTCCTTGCACGCCAGCCAGGCTGGCAGCTCACGGAGCGGCTCAGCTTGCAGCTTCTTGTCGGAGCCGAGATGGTTTGAGCAGCGTGAAAGCTCACGGGGATGGTCCTCAGCTGGAGCAGACCCGCGCTGCCGCCCAGCACAGCTCCGGGCCCCACCGCCATCGGCCCCGGCCTCGCTAGCGGGGTGCGCTGAGGCTGTGTGAGCTTTTCTCACCTCTTTCTGTCCTGCGTTACACCCCGTAGTTTTATTGCTGCAGCATATTGCAGAGAATTTGGTGTCTTTCTGACTGATTTAATGTATTTGGTTTACATTACAAGACGTTTTAACGAAGTTTTCTTGCCAGCCTTCAGTTTGTTTGAAGAAACGGAGCGGAGCAGCACTTCCCACCTGGAGGAAGGCTGCAGTCGCTTCGCTTGTGGCCCTCGTCCCTGCAAAAGGCAGCCCGTCATTAGCTGCTCGTGCCGCCTGCCTTTCCCGTCTCATTTCGGGAAGCTGCGATGCATCTCCGAGCTGCAAAGCAGCAGGCTGCAGACATGGCGGGCACCGTCCGAGGGTAACAATTACCCAACCTGAAACCATCCCACCCTGATTTTCTATTGATTGGGTGTCCGTTAGGAGAGATTACTTGTTTAGGGTAAACAGCTTTGCGTCGCTGCGTTTGCTTGCTGTAGCTCACGCAGTGCTATGTTGTGTCATATTGATCCGGAGGACATGACACAGTGGGACACAATCTACTGTGGCACGACATAAGTGACATAAACTGAATCAGAGACTGACACTCAGACATAATGCTTTTTTTTTTTTACAAAAAAATAGGTCAGTCCAGAGCACGCGAGAGGAGCGGGGCAAATCAAGAAGCAATGTCACAGATATTGTGCCCATCAGCAAGACTTCAGCTGACCGGAGGGGTTTTTTCCACCTAGAGGCATGCAGACCTGTCCATGTTAGATGATGCTACTTGGCGTCCCGTTTCCAAACGTGCTCATTTCCAATTTGGCTCAGCTGCGGAGGCTGTGTGCTCCGCTCTGCTGGGAAGGGATTCAGCGATGCTAATAACCGCAGTGCCTTTCATTTAAGGCTATCAAAGTGCTTAGTAAACAATGAGATAT